ACCATTCCGTGATTCTCTGATTCTAAAAAAAGAAAAAAAATTTTCTTTTAATGTTTCGGTTGAGGTGTTCAACCCACTCTGAGTAGGCTAGAGAAAATGATGTTTTGTGGACAAATATTTTTATTTCAAAAGTCCTATACTCTTGGTACAGTAAAATAGGGACTTCATAGACTGATATGCCTATCAGCCATATGTTGTTGCATGCTTTGGATCGTTCCCAGGAAACGTCTCTGAATTAACTGTATTTTGAGCCTCAAAAAAATTGTTAAAAATCCAAATCAGCTCATTAAACCTGAATAGAGACTTTTCAGAATTTTGCATGTGAGGTCTCATGATCTGACTGAAGCATGTTCCAATCTAGATTCATTAGTCTTTTTCATTACTGTGAGGCAAGTCACAGTAATGATTCCAGGCAAAGAATCTTGAAATTAACAGAGGCCGTCTGTATTGTGCTATCATCCCGTGACCACAGGTATAACAGCGGATGATGCTGAAGGAGAGGAACTACAGGTTAGATATGGGGAGGGAATGTAGAGAGGGTAGAAAGTCGAGAGGTTTTAACTGCAGGGTCAGTAAGGAGAGGGTATGGAAATTATAATTTGGCTGAAGCGTAATCCTAGTGAAATAGGCAGAAGTAAAGTTAATAAAGAGCCAGGAGACAAGTTCGGAATAAGGCGTATTGGATAGACCAGAATTTGCAAGGAGGAGGATTGGTTGTCAGAGGAGACTGTAAGTATGAAACAGCAAGCCTGGGAGTCAGTGAACAGAGGAACGATGTGGATGTGGCACCAGGGAAAGCTGGGGCAATGCGAGAAATCAGACACTGCAAATTAATAAAGTGAGGGAACGACATGAAGGAGGATCAGAGACATCCATTGAGGAGAGCTAGTATGAAGTGGTTAGAGAGACAGGAAAGATCCTTAAAATTGGATGACTAGTTCAGGGATTGTGGGTAGGAGTTGGAGCTGTTGGACATGCACCGTGACTAGAACCTGTGAGCAGCTGTACACACAGAATACTTAGGATTTAGACAATAATGCAGAAACCAGGAGAAAGACTGGAAGTAAAAGGAGATTGAGAATGGAATGGAACTAGGGATTTCCAAGTCCTGCGTTACATTCTCTTGTCAGCAGAATAGTGTACACCTGGCAAAGTGTCTCTTTCCAGTGCTTGTCTGCAGGGAGAAGAGCAGTATACTCCCCCAGTGTGACACATGATAGGAATCCAAATTGTGCTTTTTGTTTTTCACACAAGTTAATTAACTTATTTCAGAGACCAACACTAAGATGTTGGGAATGCTAGTCTTAAGGTTGTCTGTACTACTTAATAAATAAACCCAGGTGTTTGGGTGGGGTTTTTTTGTGTTTTGTTTTGGTTTTTTTTAACTTACAGTATTGTTTTTAATTGCACTATCATGTGGTGTTTTTTTATAGGAATCTTGCTGCAACTTTTGCAGAGTTTTGTAGGGAGTAAATCAGTGTTGTCTAGTGAAACAAGCTTGTCTTTCAGATCTTCTCCTTATCTGAAAAGACAGTGAATAAAGCAGCTAATTGCAGAAAGAGAAAGCACATGCTGTTTAAACTTAAATATTTTTATGCAGTATTTTATACTGTTGCTGTCTGTACATTAGAATTTTGGGGTGTTGCACAACCAAACGTTTTAGAAATCCTCACTATCTACACATATAATCCATTTTCAGAGCACCTGATTTGAGACTTTGGTTATTAATTTTCAGAAATGTAGATGACTCACAGCAGTGGCAGCAATCTGTTGTGGTTCTTTTGAAAGTGTAGTTCTTTCTATCCTGAAAATTTAGGTCACAGTTTGCGCATCCAAAATAATCAGATAGCATTTTTAATTTACCTTTGTGCTTCCATTCCTTCTCTGTACAATGGTGAGAATGTTTAGACTCACAGAATGGTTGAGGTTGGAAGGCATCTCTGAAGGTCACCGTGCCCAACTCCCCTTCTCAAGCACAGCCACCGAGAGCCAGGTGCCCAGGACTGTGTTTAGATGCTTTTGGATATCTCCAAGGAAGGAGACTATGTAACCTCCCTGGGGCAACCCGTTCCAGTGCTCAGTCACCCTCCCAGTGAAAGAAATGTGTTTCCTGTTCAGAGGGAGCCTCCTGCATTTCATGTTGTGCCCATTGCCTCTGGTCCTGCCAGTGAACACCACTGAAAAGGGTCTAGCTCTGTCCTCTTTGCACCCTCTCTTACGGGATCTCTAGGCATTTATAAGATCTCCCTCTGAGCCTTCTCCAGGCTAAACAGTTCCAGCTCTCTCAGCTTTTACTCACAGGAGAAAGGCTCCAGTCATCTCCATGGCCCTTCATTGGACTCTCTTCAGTATGTCCATGTCTTGCTTGTACTGGGGAGCTTAGAACTGGACCCAGCCCTCCAGTGCTGAGCAGAGGGGAAGGGTTACCTCCCTTGACCAGCTGGCAATACTTTCCCTAATGCAGCTCAGGACACCACTAGCTGCCTTTGCAGCAAGGGCACATTGATGGCCTGCGTTCAATGTGGTGTCTGCCAAGACCCCAGGCTTTCCTGTCAAGCTGCTTTCCATCTTGTGTACTGATGCCTGGGGTTGTTTGTGCAAGACCTTGCCCTTCCCTTTGTTGAACCTCGTGAAGCACTTGCCAGCCTCTTTCTCCAGCTTGTTGAGGTCCCTCTGGATGGCAGCATGACCCTCTGGTCTATCAGCTACTCCCCCCAGTTTTGCATCATCATGGAAATTCCGGATGGTACACTCTGCCCCATCATCCAGATCAGCATTGGGGATGTAAACCTGGACTGGACGCAGTATTAACCCCTGGTGCACACCACTGGTTTCCAGCCTCCCACTGGACCTTGTGGCACTGATCGCCACCCTCTGGGCCTGGCTGTTCAGACAGTTTCCAACCCACCTCACTGCTCACCCAGTCCATATGTCAACGGCTCATCTGAGAGTATCTTATGGGAGACAGTGTCAAAGGCCTTACTGAACTCAAGGTAGGCAACATCCACTGCTCTCCCCTTATCCACCAGGCCAGTCGTTTCATCATCATCTGTCAAGTTGGTCAAGCATGGCTTTCCCCCAGGTGAAGCCATGCTGACTACTGATGATGATTTCTTGTCCTCAGTGTGCCTGGAAGTGGTTTCCAGAATTAGCTGCTCCATCAAGATTTTCTTTAGATCCAGGTTTGAACACTGTCTTAGCAGGTTCCAGAGCCATGCATCCAAAAATAAGGGGTGGAAATTTGAGTGCCTTTCATGTTGTGTTTTGAAATAGAGATTCTGTGAAACAAAAATTAGAATGTGAATATATGCTGTGATGTCCCTGAAAGACTGAGCTAATGTTCATTTTACTTTGGATGTTCTGTGTCCTGGAAGTGATTAATAAGATAATTCAATAACCCAAATTACACTGATATTGAAAGACTGATTTGCAGCTTGCATGGTTTTTATGAGATACAAGGTTCACTCTGAGAAGAATTGCTGTAGTTCTTCCCTGCAAATGCAATGCATAGAGATCATATAAGGATTGATTCTCTAACCTTCTAAAGGTAAATGTAGTGTGTAACACCTTATTAGCTGAATGAAGATAGGGAGAGACATCGTTTAGAATTCCATTTCGTAATGAGTAGATTGCTTTTTTGACTATTGTCTTTTCAATTTTTAAGTGGTGCTGAATTTTATAAATGCATTACTCTCACTTTTAAATAAAGTTCATTTAAATAAAAAAAGGTGTCAGAAAAACTGGCAAATATCAGGATATTAATCTCTTATTTCATTAGTCATTACACACTGTAGCCCACATATTGCTTCTATTGTAATTCTGGCCTTTATTGTTATAATACCCAAGAACATTATTTTTAAAAATCTAAACATTTGCTGTTTAAAGATAGATTTATTTTGAGCCAAGTAATTTAAGGCCTTGATCTAAGGAAGGATGCAGTTCTGTAAGTATCAGTTGTATTATTTATGTTTTGAAAAGATACATGCTTCAGTGTTTACTTGAAGGGGAGCTTTTGCCATGTTCTTTTATGCTTTAGAAGCATATCAAAAGAATTTTTATTTCAAATGTGTTGAATTAATACAAAGGAGACTTTTCTGAATGTGTCCAGATGACTTTTCAAGACAAAGTCTTGTACAACAAGAGGAGATCTGTGCTTTGAAAGAAACAATTGCACAACTGGATAAAGAGAAGGCAACTTTGCAAGAGACTGTGGAAGAAGGAAGAGAGAAGATTGCTACTTTTGAGGAAAACCTGGCAATTAAAGTATGTTCTAATGTGTAAATAGTCACAGAGTCACAAAAAGTGAATAGGGGAAGATCTGTTGGGTCATCACACCTACCTTACATTGGTAGGTGCAACAGTGCTCAGTGCTGACCTAGTTCTGCTCATGTTTCAAGGCAATGATAAAAGTCATGTTGAAGTCAACAGCAGTAGGTTTGAGCAGCATCGAACATCTTATGTCTGGTGTTTTGTATTTGCACTGATTTTTAATGAAGTCTTAAAAAATACATTGCAGGACAGGCTATAATCATGTTGCCATAAGGACTGACTTCGCATTTTAAAAACTAAATTGTAAATGATGTTCATTTTAGGGAAGAGATGGCAGGTTTTTGCCTCTCTTGCATCTCTTGTGAAAGAGGAGGGAGTAAAGTGATATAGTTTGTGCTACCTTCTTTATGGAAATACATAATCTTGTTCTATCAGTTACAAACTACCAGGCTATGATAGTTTATTCATTGTAGAAAAGCTGTGATAACTTATCTAATAGACAGAAGATAATCATTTTTAGGCGTGGGAGTGTGAGCCACATGCTACCTTTAGAACTGCAAAGGATTAAAAAAGTTAAAGTTGTTATGTTCTGCAGAAGATGACAAGGTTTGTTCCTTTATTTGCCACATCAGATTGTCAGAATTTTCAGCTCTAAACAGTATATGGTGAAACTTGGACAACCACATTCCATTTTGCATTAAATAATTAAATTAATCAGCTAGCTGAATAAAAGGAAAATATTTTTTTCATTTATACTGAAGTGTGATGAGAGGTTTATTTTAATTTTGTATTTCTTTTAAAGGAGAAAATAATTTCAGATTTCAAGATTCTGATTTCTGAGTTGGAGCGTTCCACAAAGTAAGGCTAAAATGTCAAGTTCATTATTAAATTTTGATTAATTGATAACATCGGCTCAAAATTGAATTATAGTATTTGCTAATGTAGCATTTTTATTTTTTGTTTTACTCTATTTAAATATTAAAGTGTTACAGCTTTGTCTGACTTGCAGACTTAACCACTGGAAAAGCTGTAATTTGTATTAGGTTGGGCAGTATTGTCATACCTGAAGTATTTATTGTTTGCTGCATAGAAAATCTGCTGAAGCACTCTGTATCTGTGAGAAAGATATCACCAGTTTGCATCAACAGCTACAAGAAACCATCAAAGAACTTGAACAGACTAACAAGAACAGAGAATCACTAGCTCAGGAGAATGACAGGTTACAAGAGCATCTTTCTAATATTAAGCAAGAAAATCAGGTATATTTGTACAGAGAACTCTTGAATAAAAAGGAAGTTGTGTATTTGTTAAGTAGTGCATAGAATTGTTGGGCCCTCATCTTAAGTAAATCTGCAAACGAGTTTTTGAGCTCATTTTTCAAACTCTGAATTTTTTCCTTACTGCTCAGCTCACTTGTATGTTCTTATTTAATGGCTCAGATGTTTATCTTGAGGGAGAGCTAACAAATGTGGTCCATGTAAAAACACTGTAGCAACTATAACTATGGCTTATAGGGAATAGTACTACAAAGGAGGCAACAAATATTTCTTACACTGTGTTGTTACTGGCCCAGAGCACTTACAAGCTTATGGATTTGACTTGCTGATAATTTAAGACAGTACATATTTTAATAAGGTTCAAAACTGTATTAATAGTACCATATATATTTACATTCTTTTAAGGTGGCTTTTGGGTAAAAGATGCTGGAAATACTTGGTTATAATACAACATTACACTATCTACTGAGTTATTTATCTGTGTGCAGTTACTAATGAAAGTAGTTACAATACTTTAAGTGTCATCTCATGCACAATGTTCATGCCTCAATGTGTTTTCCTAGCAGCTAGAAATTAAGCTGTAAAATACCTGTAGTAGCTCATTACTGTGAAATGTTCCGTTTTTTCTTCTTTTTCTTCAACTTCTTGCCTGCATTTATGTTTTCTGATACTTGATCTTTCTTCTCTGTACTGTACTGCTTAGGATATCTTTTTCTTTGAAAATACTTCCTGCTCACCTAGCTTTCTCTTCCTCTAGAAGTGCTATCCAGTTTTGATGGAGCAAATTAACTTCACCTGATGTTCAGAATATAAAAGTTTTAAGTCATTAAGGCTCCCTTTTAAGTGAAGAAGAGTCCTCCAGAAGGAGATTAATCCCATCCCAGTTTTAAGTGTGATCTATTTTACCTGTCTCTCTCCCTTCATTATAGAGGAATTATAGTTTGCTAGTTTAGATCACGTGCCTAATTCTGCAACGCAAGTTGGGTGAGACAATTGTTACTTAGAATAACTATTCTCTCAAACATACGAATACTCTTTAGTGCTCCCTTTTGAGTATCCTGGAAAAGTTGAGGCTCGTAGCTTTAAGCAGGTACTCTAGGGAATCACTATCCTTTACCTTCTCTCAGAATCACAGTTGATACTGATGAGGTGAGCTGGTGCCAACCACAGCCTCCTCTTGCTTCTAGCTCCTTTTGGGAGCTTCGTGGTTTTCTTTGCAATGCCTGGATGCTTGTAGAAGCAGTTAGAAACAGAAAGTCTTGGCCTCACAGGATCAACTACTTTTTAATAGGCTTGCCTCTGTAAATATGTATTGGTTTCTCTTGGTTCTTCGTTAATTTAGGTGATACTCAAGGTGTTTGAAGTAACATTCTCGTTCCTTCACTTGGGCTTACTGGAAAAGTTGACAGATTTCCAGAGCACCTTTCACAGCAACTTGCAGTCTTTTCACAACAGGAATAGGGGTTTCTACATAGCCTTCTCCAGCCACTCACACCCCCACCCCTTCCCAGAGTTCTTGCAGCTCAATGTTCTACTAATTTTGTAAGGAAGGAGGCGTTTCTGAACAGAGCAGTTCGAGACAGCCTTTCTGCAGTTTTGTTCCTCACTCTGTTGTGTTTCTCCATCAACAGTTGCCAGAAATTCTGTGTGCATCCTCCTAATACTTGTGGCTTTATTTCTTCTGATTAGGAGATAACCACTTAATTAGTTAATTAAGTGTTTTAGCTGTCTTCTGCTTTTTCAAATGTGGGCTTTTAAGAGACTGTAACATGGGAAGAAGAGGGAGCTGACACTGAGCCCTGCTTCTTAAATGGAGCAGGCTATATTGTTATGACCATCTAGCTGCTAAATAAACCATCTCTATTTTCTTTTTAACTGTTATGTTCTTTTATTGACATTTTTCTTCTTTTTAAGAAAATTTAGCATTATTTGTAAGTCACAAACAAAGTATTTTTGACAAATGCAAGATTTTGTTTATAGAAATATACATGGTTTAGATTTTATATAGCCTTTAAATAGTGAGTTAATAAAGCCAAAGGTTTTAGATATACACTAATTCTATTTTTTGGTAAAGGTACAAGCAGTATACTTGAGCCTTATGAAACAAACCTTTCTTCATAGGTACTATATAAAAAACTAGCAGAGCACCAAAATGAGCTTGATGATATGAAGCTGAAAGCCCAGGACTCAAACACAGATATTGTCAGGCTGAAGGGTGTACTGAAGTCTAAAGTGAGTATATGAAATAAACCTGTTAATAAAAGCTGTTGTTTTAATTAAAAATGAAATTTTAGCTATATTTCCATGGAGGAATTTGTTTCCTAGCCAAAATTTATCTACATTCTACTTGTGTTTTTATTAATTTGAACACCTTTTCTTAGCTGCTGTTGCAGTACACAAGTAATGTTTTTTTGTATATATACACAGGTGTGTGTTTTTATTAAAGTTAAAAATTCTGAGGGTGACTAATACAGACACTTGGAACTCTTTTGTCTTTATTACCATATGGGATGAATAGTAAAAAATAATGTTTCTGCAATATATTGCTATACCTCGTATTCATAACATTAATCTGGCCATTTTTAACAGATGTCTTTTGAGCATTAAAATGTGGCCATCTTGGACAAAACACTGGTCCTGGAAGTCTTTCGAAGGTTTGGCTAAATGGCAAAGTTTTCAGTGGAAAGAGAATGCCCAATACCATGCCATACCTGCAGATCTGTAGATATCCCTATTTTGTGAACCTTACTGTGAATTCTTAAACTAACAAGCTTTACGTGTTAGGAGAGAGAGAACTGTGAGCTTTTGGAGAATTACCACAAAGCCTGTGAACAAGGAGAGAGTTGGGAGGCAAAATGCCATCAAGCAGAAGCAGATTGTAGCTCCATTAGGCTGGCACTGATCAGTGCGGAGTCTGAGAAACGCGGGTTGAAAGAGAAAATGGAGTCACTCAAAACAGAGATGGAGCAAGTAAGTTGAAATTGTCCTTTCCATAGTTCACCCTTGAAATGGTCTTGGTAGTATTTTAAGCCTGCAGCTGTTTAAAATTATGCTTAATGCCACTTCTCATATTTTAGAGATATTTGCTACAATGAACTGTATGGAATTGGAGTTTATTTAATAACATTAAATAGAATTCCACTAGTTGCACTTGGAAAAAAAAATCTTAATAGCATATTTCAAGGAAAAAAATACAATCATAAAATTCTCTCATGTTCTAATGACTCAAAGCATAATGTCACACACAACTCCACAGCCTACCTGAAATACACCTAGTGCTTTGTCACCTGTTACGTTCCTGTCCCTGCTTTTCTTGCTTCCAGCTTTTCAACCTTCTTTCCACTGCTTTAGATGTCCAAAAGAGCCTCTTCCCACTTGAAAATCTGAATAACTTAAGAGGAAAGGTACAGCATGGCTTTGGAAATACATTATGAGCATACCAGCTATCTTCTGGTTTTGGGTTGTTACAGTGTTGGTTGCAGATCATCTCTGTTTCCTGAATATCACATAGGCTACTGAGGGCTGCCTGTGCACATCACACACTTGAGAAACTCAACTGCTGCTGTTCAGAAAGTGGATGAGAACATAACAGCAGCAAAACAGCACAGCAAGATTGTGTGGCAGGATTTGATTTTTTTTTAATATAATAGAACTGGTACATCGTCTTAGTTTATCCAGCGAGCCCGAACTGGTAGAGATTTCATCCTTCTAATTCCTTCCCATGTGCCTGCTATTACCTGTAGAAATAAACAGGACTCTTTGTGGAAACCGTGTCAACAAATTGAGCTGGAATTCCAGATGTCATATTCAGGTTCATAGCAGTTATGTTTATAGCTAAAACACAGAAGTTTTTATTCAGAAATCTTAACATGCTTAGCAGTGCTCCGTGTTCCTTGTGCTTTTTTTGTGGCAAGACAAAGCTAGAATGAATGAGAGGTGGTCTCCCTACAATCATCTCTTTGGATCTCATTCCTAATAAATCCATCAAGGAAGTCACAGTGCTTTCTCTCTCCGTTTGCTCTGCTGTCTTACCAGGCTCGTTCTGCCACTCACTGAAAATTAAGTAGTTAAAAGTGACTGGAAATACAAGCTTCACTAGGCAAAGTACAGGCATTTATCAAAAAGGAAAAACCTAGGTTATGTTGATTTTAAGTACACAAATTTCTAAATGTTTATAGTCAGAACTGCTGCTGCTGGCTTATGGACTTCTCTTCAGTATGACTTCTGCCTGAGTTTACAGGTGACAGCCGTGTGAATAGGACTGACAGGATCTCAGCATTCACTGGTCACCTACATGCAGGAATACATTTTATTGCCAGAATAAGAGGGTCTCATCTGAAAATGAAATGCGGCCCATGGCAGAATTTTGAACCTTATTAGCTCTGCAGAAGGAGTAGAATTCTAGGAATAGAGTTTAAAATGTCAGTAGCTGCTTTTGCTGTCAGAAGCAAGATCTTCTCTTCCAGTTTTTATATATGGGAGTTATTTAAAGAAATAACTTTAAAGTTTATTCCAGAATAAATGACTGCTGCCTCTTAAAATTCACCACAATTACATAGAGATATTTTTGTAGGATTTTGGAAGGAGGTTTACATTTTCTTTGCACTCGTGTTTTGATTATCTGATATTGCTTTACTGTAGCATTTAAGAACAGAAGCAGCATACAAGTCTCAGATTTCTGCCTTAAGCAAGTCTCTTGTGAAAACGGAAGGAGAGCTTCAAAACATGTATTGGGATAGAGTCTCTGTACTTGCAAGTCTCACATCTACAAGAGAACTTTGCATTAATCTAGATGCAGTCAAAGAACGATTAAATCAGCTGTTAACTTCCACGGCAGAGAAAGTAGAAAGGTTATGTGAAATATATTTAAAAAATAAGTTTATGTTAACGTTATATTTAAGTGATCTAAAGCTACTTTGGAATCTGGAATGGTCAAAGAAATCCTTAATGATGGTTAGTGTTTCCATTTTTTAAATGTTTAATTTGGCAGTCCTCAGGGGCTTAGTCCTCGGGGGGTGGATGCTGTATACTCTGAAAAGCACACTGCTTCACAAGGTTTAGCTATGAATACTCAATGTCAGGACTTAAAATTACTCGTTGTTTTCTTGAAAGATATCTCAGATTTTACATCTCCAGCTGTTCTGCTTACTTAATCTTTAGTAGTTTATTAGCAAAGAAACTTGCCATGGGTTTTAAAATGCTTGACTGTTTTGGGAAGTATCAATATCTCCTTAATAATCAGTCCTTAATTTCCCTTGAAAAACAATTTCTGCTGACCTTGGTTTTTACAAAAACTACAAAATTAATGTTTGATAGGCAAATTTTTAAAAAGTCAGCTTGGATAAACTCTGAAAAATTGTTCATACATACTCAGATTATTGACATAATCTCAGTGTGATTCTATCGCTGCCCTGTCCATCCTCCGCTCCAGCTGAGGTAATGTCTTCTTCCAGCATTCTCTTTTAACCTTTATGCCTTTTCCATACTCCATGGGTAAAGCTGCTGTTCGATGGGTTGGTTATTTGTTCCTGCCAAATGCGTGTGATGCGTTTTGTGTGCTTGTGGAACCCTCTGTGATGCTTTCGATAGGGAAGGTTTCCAGCATGCAACCTTTGCATGAAGCTTTCATGCGACCTAGTACGACTAAGCCTTCGTGGATCCTTTGGTGAGATTGTTAGCGAAGGGGCTTGCTGGGGCTGTGGAGAGCAGCAACAGTTTCAGGAGAGAAAAATGCAGAAATGCAATTGGAACGTTGGAAAAAAGCCTGAAGTTGAGAAATTTTCACTAATTTTTTCATACCTTTCAACCAGTAGTCTTTTATCGGCCATGACAGGGTTTTTTTTTTACACAGTATTCCAATGCAGAAATTTGCATTACTAGGCTGCAGCATAGGTATATTTGGGAGTGGAAATTAAACCTGATGCTGAATAATACTGTTTTTTCGGTGTTTCTAATAGTGTTTATTTTCCTACAACTTATGCTGTCTACAGTTTTCAGTTTTCTTTTGTTCTGCAATGCAAAAGTAGAATATCAAAACTGCTTATCCATAAAGGAACTAGATTTTTTTTATTGACAGTTAGCAGCAAATTAGATCTTTTGGACTCAAGAAGTCTTTAAGTTTAGCTTCCTAAAACATTAACAACAAAAAAGGATTGCTTTGGAAAGTGAAAAATGCTTTTTTTTCTTCCCCTCGTCCCCCATTGGCCTACGACCTGAGTTCTCTCAGTATCTTCCTTCTTTGAACACACAAGTGGTTATCCTCTGAAAATTCTGAGGAACGGGCTGGAGAGGTGGGGTGTTTGTTAAGGTGTCTCAGCTCATATATCTACAATGACCTTAAGCGTTATTGTGCTTGAAGTAAACTAAGCTAGAGTAAAACACAGATAAAAGTGTTTGCAGCACCCCAGATGGACTCAGTTAGACATACTGAAATGCATACATGAAAAGTCGAAGAAAAAATAACATCCAGCTTGCTAAGATTAAAACAGGCAGTTTTCTGTGTCTCTGTAGCTGACTGGATACACATTCTCCTACTCTCTGTTCTGGATTTCCCCCAAAAAACCCCCCCCCTTTTTGTGTAGTTATGTCTCAGGTACGTCCATTGTTCCCCTTGTGGGGGAACACACTAGGTTTTATGAGTATTCTTTTCTAGGGTCCCCCAGGATACCTAGATACTTATTCTCTTGGTTTGGATTTTATTAATTTTCCCTGCCCCCTCAGATTCTTGATGCTCCATCTCACGCTGCTGGTGATGCAGATATTGGTTGATTTTTTACCAGGTGTCATTTCCTGAATGCAAACGGTTAATCAGTAGTTTCTTGCCTCAACAAAGTGTGAAACTTCCTTCCTTTAATGATTCTGTCTACAGTCTGTATCCATTGATCCATCTATTTCATAGCATTTTGTCATTTGTATCAAGCACATTTATATTCAGGTGTATACCTTGGGTGAATTTATACATCTGACACAGGATTTTGACTGAGGGCAAATATAACACTAATAATTCATCTTGGAGTGAGAGCAGATTTTGGTCATTGATCCCAGACTTGCTTTTTTCTTTTTCTCTCTGTTTTTTTAAAAAGGTTACCATAATAGATAGCTAGTGAGCTTAACAGGCACACATCTATAACTTTAAAATCTTTGTTCAGTTGCAGAGCAAGTTTGAATCATCCTGTTCTGAAACAGAGCAGCTGAGAAAACAACTGGGAAATGAAAGAGCATCGATGAAACACCTGGAATCTTTGTTTGTGTCCAGTCGTGAGAAAGAATTTCAGTCACAGAGAGCAGTGCAAGAAAAAGACTCTGAAATTCGGTTTCTCAAGGAACAGCTTGCTTTAGCGGAAAAGGAACTGTGAGTAAATGACTCGGAGAATGTCATAGGTTTCTTCATTCTTCCCAAGTGTATGTACACAGAGATGGTTTTATATCTCGTTGAGTTTTCAAATGGCCAATATACCTTGGTTACCTTATACAGCAAAGATACCAAAAACCTCCTCCTGATTCCTCAGCTATACTCTAATAGACTTTTCTGGGAAATGGTACGTTTTACTACAAAAGATGTTCTTAATCTCGATTGCATGGTATAGTTGTCCTTTTAATTCTGGATAACTGTAGTTGGTACCGTACCTGGAGGATTATAGTTGCTATCTAATTGAAGTGTGTGGACTTTACAGTGCTGTGCAGAGTCGAGATTTTACTCAGCTCAGAAATAGAGCCGCTCAGCTAGAGTCAGAACTGGATATCGCCAAAATACAGCTGGTGACTGAGCACTTGGAAAGGTAAGTATGTGGTTTTGTATTGCGCTTCGTGCATCTAAGTGGGGTGAAAGGCTATATAGTACTCAGACGTAGACTAATTAGTAGGATAAACCGTGAAGTTTGGTTTTGCTCTGCTGTACATCTCTGTGTTTAGAGGCTATTCGTGTCACTAAATTCAGTCTGTTCAGCTATCACGAACGCTGCCTAAATGAGTTGTCTAGGTTCCCTTTACAGTCAAAGGAATGAGACAGTGAGATAAACTTCCCTCTGGAATTGCTTGGTTTAGGATGGGATGGATCACTTCCCTGAAGATGCTCATCTGCCTTCACTCATTTATACTGATGCCTGTCTTGATCTGTAGTGAAAGTCTAGGTGACTAGTTGGCTAGGAAAGTGATTTATGGACTACTAGTTCTGCGATATGAATGGCTACCTTGTGCCTACACCTGTACTAGTGACCTAAACCAGGTTAGAGCATTGACTTGAGGGATTCACACAACTGTATACTTGTCTATACAGTTCAATTGTTAATACAAGCTCTGGACTGAGCCTCAGCAAGTTTGAGTGCACCCTC